CGACGAAGGCAAGCAGCGGCAGCGACGGCGGCAGCGTCTGTGGCGGCATCAGCCCGTACAGGCGCCGGGGTGGATACGTCAAGTACGAGTGCTGACGTGGCGGGAGCTGATGGCGATGACGCGGAATCCGGCTGACGTGGCGGGGCGCATGTTGATCTTCTGCTGGATCGCGCTGGTGGTGGGCCTTATCTTTTACAGCATCGGCAACTACTTCGAGGCCATAAGGTACGGCACGGTGCGCATGTACGACACCTTGAATGACAGGCAGGGCGGGAGGACGACGGGAGGCGGAGAGGGAGAAAATCCCTAATGCGCTAGGGGGGGGGTCGTTCCTGAGAGGTGAGAAACTAAATCCAGTGTTGAGCGTGTATTCAGTATTTTCACAAAATATTTTTATTGTGTACTTTTTGATTGGCACCCTAGACAGGTTTTTCCTTGTTCATGTTGTTGTTGTTGGAAGACATGATGTTGGGAAGAGGACATTGGAGGTGGGTATGTGTGTATGTATGTACATATGTCCCTAATGCTAGAGCTTGTGGCTCTCGGGAGGCTCTTGGGCCTCTGCTGGCTCGTGTATGAGCACTCCTAGTTACACCCCTCTCTACCGGGGTAATGCAATACCGGGGTGCGGATATGTTCGTATGTGTCGTTGCGTACGAACTTGTGTGTATGTGTGTATGTATGTGCGCGGTGGGCTGTTTTGTCGCAGGTCGCGGTTGGACGTCATGTTCATTGAGACTTGTGTACTGCTGCTGCTGCCGTACGTGTACATGTCGCTGTACACCGCCGACAAGCAGTACTATACGGCAGATCTGTCGGCCAAGTTGTACAGCCCGTCCGCGTACTACGTCGCCAAGGTACGACGTACACTGCACCACCTTTTCCCCTTCCCAGTCTTCCGCGCGATTTCCCCCGCCACAACCACCTCCCCATACACACACACACACACATCTTCGGTTTCCTTGCATATGATTCTCCTCCCCCCGCCAGCAGCTTCACTCGTTCGTGGTTCGTCTTTCCCCC